AATTTATTAACTTATCATACTTAGTATTTATTTTTGGTGACTGTATCACCCAGTTTTAACATTTGATAATTGTACAGTTTATTGACGACACATTGACTGAATGTTATTTTATATTCTAATTTATATTCTAGATATTTTATTTATTTTCCAACAGACGACAACTTCCTGTTTTTTTTTCTTCTATATTAGTTACTCATATCTCTTGTACAGACTTTTTTACAAGGACATTGACAAATGATACTCACATTAGGCATTCATTATTGCATCTAAATTATTTCACTTGCATTAGGCTTAGAATTTATTCTCTGGTCAACAGATTTCAAATGTTTAATTAATTTGTAGTATGACAGTAAGGTATATAAGAAGTTATTTAATTTTGCTTGGGCTATTATATTGACTAGGTATTGAGGTTTAATGATGATATGGAATTTGAATTCTATATAAATTTACACTATGTGGTTGGGGCATTTTGCATAGTAAATATGGTTACTACTCATATATATCATATTATTTGATTGGTATTCGATTTCTGATTATTTCTTAGGAATATGATTATTATATCTCAATTTGGCTTTAGGTAGGGTGCCCCGCTAAAAGAACTGGATTCTTCCAGGAAGCATCCCGTGCACAGACCTTGGTCTACATATATATTAAATTATTAACCATTCATTCTGTATTAGTTGTTGTATTAGTAAAGCAAACAGTATGATTGCATGGGTTACAAGGAATCTCATTATAAGAGAAATTAATGTTATGAGAAATGTTTATAAAACTATAATAAGACCCCACTTGGAGTATTGTGCTCAGTTGTGGTCTCCACCTGCCTGCCATGGGAATTGGGCTACTATCATTGAACTGGAAAATGTCCAGAGAAGGTTCACACGCCTTATTGATGATATTGGAACACTTCCTTACAGTGAAAGGTTGGATGCCTTACAGATTACAACACTCGCAGAGAGACGGGTTAGAGGAGATTTGATTGAAGCCTACAAAATTGTAAATGGATTGGTTGAGTATGGAAAAGATATTTTCAATTTAAGTAGATCGGGAGATAAAATTGTTAGCACTAAATCTAACAATATTGATAGAAATATTAAAACCTTGTCTAATAATTTTTTATCAGAGCGTGTTATCAGCTTTTGGAATAAATTGCCATCTTTTGTTAGAAATTCAGTGTCTGTTATTGATTTTAAAATTAATCTAGAAGAATTTAAAAAGACTAATAATTTAGTAGACACAGGCAACTTTTGGGAAGTGTCAAATATAGTTTTAGCAAAAATAGAGGGTGTAAATTATATCGAAAAGAAGAAGCAACAAGTCCAATATTTATATAAAAATCCTCGTGTTGCCAAGAGAAAGGGAATAAATATCTCATGAATTTGTTTTTTATTTATTTATTTTTAAATTAACGGTTTTTAACTTTTTAAACTTTTTTATATGTAAATAAATTATGACAATTATGTTAGTTATAGAATTTGTTTGTTTTTAATGACGAAGGCTGTGAAATGTTCACAGTTCTGATAATGAGGAAATCAGAAAGAATGTTTAAAACTAGTGATGATGTTTATGTCATTATTCTTAATCTAATCTAATCTAATCTAATCTGTATGTGCACGAAAATTTATTTCAATCAAAAAAACCTTAATACAGCTTGGTACTGCCTCCTGAGGTAAAGAAGGCAATAAGTCCAAATGATCCTTTCTCGGTTTCCAAGACCCGATCTTGCTCAAGGTCTCTCTTTGCCCTCACGTTTCTTACATAAAGTGCAGGAGGACTGACAGTAACATTAAGAGCGGCATGCGGGCGAGACAGTCATGTATCTAAATGTATCTAAATGTATCTAAATGTAGAAAGTCTGCTTTAACATCATTTCATCAAATCTGGTGCAGCAGTTAATAATCAGATTTAATGTACAAGAAGAGTCTCGTAATGAACAAAATAAACATAAATTAATTTTGAATGGACATGGTCTGAAGCAACACCCAGATTAAAGGACTCCATTAACATTTGCTTATTCAAAATTGAAACCACCCTGATTAAGCCAGATGCAGAAAGCTCAATTCTCACAATAACTAAATTCTTTACAAGACTCAATCTCAACTAAAATTCAAACTCACCACTTAATAAAACCTTTCGGCGAAATTTTTATCATTATTTTCAAGATAGTCGTTGACTTCAACTAAAATTAATTCGTATCAAATTCTTATTTTAAACAAACTCAATAATTTGCAGACTTACAAATCTTTGACTTTAAGGACATTCAGTTAAACAAACGAGAAAGTCGCCGGTGTAAATTATTTACTGTTAAATAGTGTACAAATTTATGATGGAGACATAAAATAGTAGGCAAAATAGCCATCTAGATATTTGGGTAATACCGTGCGAAAACATACAGATCGCAGGAGAGACATTAGGGAAGTACGTATCATAAACACATTACTTCGATAAAATGTTCGATTTCCTTTCTAGTAGCGCTCGATTTTTATACTCGTTATACAAAACGTGCGCGGCGTCACTTTTTGAATTACCGTTCAATTTATTCTCTGCAAATTTACATCAAAAGTTATTTTGCTATTCAGACCTAGATCTTGAATTCATTTAATTTACGACAAGATAAAAGATTATAAAACTGTGTTTTTTTGTGAATTTCCAACTGCTTGACCATTGTTAATGGTCCAGCCCGGCGCGCGCTACTTCGTAGCACAATTGCCATATTTCGAGAAGAAAGCGGCGCGCGCTACTTCGAAGAAATGTAGACGAGTAACATCCGTCAACCAACTGCTCACATATATTTTCAAATGTGAAATGATATCCACAAATCTTAACTGTTAACGGATGTTATTCGTTTCAATTTCTTCGAAGTAGCGCGCACCGCTTTTTTGCCCGAAGGCAAGTGGTACGAAGTAGCGCGCGCCGGGCCAAATCATTAACAAAGGTATTGTATCACATCGTGACCCCCACGGTCGTTTCACTGTAGAGTTTCGACGATACAGGGGGAGCCGTGCACTCGTGCGCAGCGGGTCATACAACGTATGACAACAATTACAAAGGTCAACCCTAGGACGTCTGGATTTCTTGACGGATGTTACTCGTCTAAATTTCTTCGAAGTAGCGCGCGCCGCTTTCTTCTCGAAATGGCCCGATGGCAAGTGCTACGAAGTAGCGTGCGCCGGGCCAGAACATTAACAATGGTCAACTGGATTTCCAGCTACGTTTAACATTTAAGAGTACAAATGAAACCAACTGAGAAAAGACAATTTTTGAGAAAAGACAATTTTATTATTTATCACCAATTCAATACATAATCAATAAATATTTATCCGAATAAATTTGATTAAAAATTAAATGATACAAGTATGCTAGCAGCTAGCGCGCTTATATTCGATAAATATTCACGCTGTTAAAATGGGTTTTACCACACCGCCACTCACATTAGCACAGTTGGTGAACGGACCCAGGCGCTGTTAAGCTTTTATGAGCCCTGGTTGACTGCTGAGAGTAGCGAAGGGGCTGATATTAATTTTATCTTAGTTTAACCTAGATTCCAATAAAATTTATTGTTTGTTGTTAGTTGAATTCAAAAACAAAAGAGTTGAAATAAAACTCAAAGGTATCGACTAGGTATCGACCTGAAAGCAACCCAAAAACAAATGTGTACAGCATGTGATTGATGTAATTAATCTAAACTTATTAAAATTCGTAAGCCGTGGATGAATGGGAAAAGCGAGCGACCGATTTCATTTTCGGCATCATTTTGCATTCAAATGTTATGCTCATCTCTGCTTGTTATTAAATTTTGCCTAAATAAAACACGAACAATTTATTTCATCATGTTGCAATATTGAAGTATCATGACAAGTCTATAATCGAACAACAGTTCGGTTCCAAAATAGATTTAATCGGATCCGTTCATATAAACGTTTACATAGTTAATAAGGGAAAGGCAAAAGGAGTCAAACAGAATTATATAACTAAACAGAATTACACAATGGAATATAAAATAAAAACGAATCTTTCCAAAATGCTGAACAAATTTTATATGAGTTTTTTAGATGAGAAACATGCAAAGATATGCTTGTAGGTTTACAACCTACCAGGATATACATCCAATATATGGAACAGATATTTTACGAGTATCACCCGTTAAAGATATGCCAAAACTAAAAGTGCACTTGAAAAACATGATCTCGTGAAAGGTAAAAGTAAGAAAAATAATGAAATAAATCTATGTTAACAATGCAAAGTATATTCACAAAACATAGCCACGTATTAAAGATTTTTTAAAATTCGTTCACTTTCCAGCTATTGTCTATTTTTGATAATTGTAGGTCACAAAAACAATGTTTCAATTACCCAAGTATATAGTTAAATTATGAAATACCTTAACAATAACATACATAAACAACATACATAAACAACAGATTTTCAAAGAAAACCTCCAGTTTTGAAATGTCACACCCCGCTCCTACTAAATCGCTCGCCCAAATTTTAAGAAAATTCTTGTGAAAAGGCCCTTTGGGCATGAAAGTGATCTAGATCGGTGTATTTTTGGACGCTGATTCCGAATCACCCCCATGACGAAGGGTTAAAATGCTTCCTTGGTCACGTGACAGGCTAGTAAAATACGAATTCGATTGTTTAGGGCCCGGGTTAGGGTTAGGGTTGTGGTAAGGGTTATGGTTAGCTTCGGGGTTATGGTTAGGGTTAGGGTTGGGATTAAGGGTTTATGTAAAACCGTTTTGTACGACTGCAAAGTGCAAAACCATAAAAACCATGAAAGTCACGTGACATTTTTGGGCGAGCGAATTAGTAAGAGCTGTCACACCCATTTAACCGTGTTTACCTGAGAGTGTGAAAATGTTAAAGAATTGCTGTGAACAGTTGTGAGTTGTATTGGTGCTCTTACAAAAAGGTGGGAAAAAGTTTATTAAAGCGAAAAAAAATTGAAGAAAAATAAGAACAATACCTAAGTAACTTTGATAATATACGCACTATTCATCTCATATGGTGTCGTATATATCCTCATCCGCGTATATATCCTCGTCCACACCCCCCGTAGAGCCCTGGACATCATTCACATGGCAGACCGCTTCATTTTCTATCACCTGTCTTATCCTGGGATCTTCCGGATCTCTTCTAGCTTCACTCTGCTGGTCTCCGATACCCACCTCTCCCTCTGCAGTGTAGACTACTCTAGGTCCTGTCGCCTGTTTTCTTCCGTTTCTTCTCTCATAAAACAGAAGCAAGCCTAGCAGAAGAGACAGCAGTACCGATAATCCTAATGCGCCTGCTAGTATCGCAATACTTTTATTCTGGTTCTTTAAGCTTGTGTGAAAAGGTTGAAGAGACACACAGGAACCATTTCCTTGGTCACTCCAGCTCCACGTTTTTCCATCTCGGCAGGTGCAGATGGACGTCATCGTGTCTGCTGAGGTATCAGGAGGACATTGTTGACACTCCAAAGCTCCTATCAGACTAACAGAACCTACATTGCAGATCTCACAAAGAGTTCTGTTCCACAACTGTCCTGCTGAGCAGGTGCAATGTTCTGAGTCAGATTCTGGGTTTGTTCCTTCTGGACACATGGCACAGGATGTCATATTGGAATTCTTGTACGTATGAGGAAGACAGGAACATTTACTAGAGCCAGCAGTTGAAGTCGAGAGTGGTGGACAAGGTGCGCAAGAAGACATTTGGGAGGTTTTGAAAGTGTTAGCTGGACAGAGACCACAGGAACCACTAATTTGGTCTCTCCAATTCCAAGTAGTCCCAATAGGGCAGCTGCAGGATGTCCCGTTGTGCAGTGGTGTCGAACCGGAGGGACATTCTGAGCAAGTTAGAGAACCTCCAGGACTGGCTGAGCCTTCTTTGCACACCTGACACAGAGTTCCGTTCCAAAACTGTCCTGCTGAGCAGATGCAATGTTCTGAGTCTGCTTCTGATGATGTTCCCTCTGGACACATGGTACAGAATGTCATATTCGGGTTCTTGTATGTACCGGCGACGCAGGTGCATCTTTCAGATCCGGCAGTGGACTGTGAAAATTTGCCACAAGGAGTGCAAGCAAACAACTGGGAGTCTTTATAAGTTTTCGGCGGGCAGATGCTGCAGGAACCGCTGGTTAGGTTCGTCCAAGTCCAAATCATCCCTCTTGGACAGCGGCATATAGTGTTGCTATTCAAGGAATTTGATCCTGAAGTACATATAAGGCATTGCAAAGCTCCCTCTGGGCTCACGGAGGATTCAGGACAGTTTTCACACTTCAGCATTACTTCATCTTTGTATTTTCCCGAAGGACAGCTAAGACAGATAGTTCCGTTCAGAAACATGCCCCCTGTACATTTGCAGGTAGCAGAGCCTTCTGTAGAAGATGAGAATTCAGGGCAAGCAGTGCATATTAACATGTGGTTATCTTTGTAGGTATTCAGGGGACAGAGCTCGCAGGAACCGTTATTTTTCTCATCCCAGCTCCAAATCCTTCCAGGCTCGCAACTACAGGATGTTCCGTTCTGCAGTGGTGTCGAACCGGAGGGACATTCTGTGCAAGTTAGAGAACCTCCAGGACTGGCTGAGCCTTCTGGACACAATGTGCAAGAGCCACTGGTTCGATCAGTCCAGGTCCATATCTGCCCAGCTGCACAACTACATGCTGCTCTTTCATCCAATGGCCGGGAACCTGCTGGACATGTGATGCACTGTGAATTTTGTGATGCACCTATTTGACTAATTGCTCCCTCTGGACATGGAATGCATCTTTGGATACCTGTCTCTACTTTGAAAGTGTTGGAGGAGCAATTCACACAGGTCCCTGAGCTGCGGTGTTGACCTGGGGAGCACACTCCTCTGCAAGTTAGAAACACATCTTCACCATGGCCACAGTCATGTGTTGAGTCAACATACGTGCAGGAAGACCATTCTGTCGAAGAACATTTGACTTGATCAAGTGTTATAGAATAACTGTCCTGCAAAGATTTCCACTTATGACTGTTTGTATGGCTACTAAACGCTTCAAATCCCATCAGTTTACAAACAGCATTAGATGCGTTATTATCAGTATCATAGTGATCGTCACATACTGTTCCACCATTATACAGCAGTAAACCCTCCTCTCCCTCAGTTGTTATTGTATTTCCGTACTGGTCAACCAGTTCGAAACTACAATCTGAAATATTTCGTCTCACTTCAACCTTAATTTATTCGCAATTTAAGATTTATAATCTTAACTGTGACTAATTGATTTGCTATAAGTGAACACATATTAGTTTCCTAGTATGTCTTCAATTTCGTATAGATAGACTTAATAACTCCAGACTTCCACAACACAGCAATCAATTAACTTACCAACGTGTTTCACTAGTATGGCGAGAAATGTGATCTTTAGAAGCAACATCATCACGATTAAAAAATTGTGAGCTGCAAGAATTAACTGAAACGTACGATTTGTGATCGACTAAAGTCTGTACATCAGAATTCGAGACCAGTAGGCAGTATGATTTGTCGCTGATCGTGAGTTTATTTATCTGATACAATATTTTGGTTTACGGTTTTAGTCTTGTACATTGATTACATTTTGTAGTAATTCTATGGCTGGAATGTTGGTATAATTTCTACTTGAGTAGCTGAATTATTGTACCCGGGATTTCTGACGCTACAATTATTAACATTAACACTGTCTCAGTTTCTCAGAATTTCATAGGTATGATATTTTTGATACTCACGGCACATATTTTGAGTGTAAGTGTAACGGAATTTGTCCTGTACGTGACTTTAGAGATATAGCACTTTAAGTTTAGAGATAATAGTACGACTGTGTCATGTGGAACATGGCCCTACTTTTCTGAAACATTTAGAATTCCGTCAAATCTGCAAAATTTGGTTCAAGAAATATCATATTTGAAAAAGGGACAGAAACAAGAAATTGGCTTATATATGATTATCCAATTTGTAATTATACTTTCTCTGGAATGCTGTCTCCGGCCGGAATTAAACCTCCAGTGGCAGTTCCTCATATTATCCATAATTAACAGACTTATTGGTCACTGTTCTATCGCTTATAATGCGCAATATTTAAACGAATATAATCCATATGACAACATTACACGAAATATGCTAAATAGCTGTAATTCGTAATAATTCAGATGGGACTGTGGCTGTATATAAATACTTTTAGTTTTAAGCTAAATCATAGTCTACCATTTTATCAGTCAACAATTGATCAAGTCACAATTTCAATTAAAATACACTTTTTTTCTGATAGACCGAACCTTTGAATGTGTATCAGAGATACACATTTATATTGTTTAGCATTCGTTCTTCAAATCGAGAAACATCATCAAAAATGTCATTCTCTTCAGTAATGCAGTGTTTGAATAACAATAATAAGTTCAAGCAACAAATTTAGAAACAAAGCTCCTGCGCAGGAAACCACCTCTACTGTTAGCCGGAAGTGATGCTCCTTTCTGAACTTTTTTGTTCTTGCTCTGTCTGTCCGTCACTGAAGTTAAAAAACGCGTTACAAAAGAAAATTAATTAATTAATTATTTAATCATAATCATAAGTACAGATTAGAGACCCTTCAAACAAGCAGAGTCTTTAGAGCTTGTAGTTGTTATTGAACACTTTTCGTATAATTTAGCACACATTTTTTGTTTATTTTCATAAGTCAAATTTTAATACTTACAATAAAATCAAGTTGGTTATATCTTATGTTAATGAAGTCAATCAATGGTTACCGTCTAGTTGTTCCTGAAATATGGTGCTTGCCATTTACAGAATATGACGCGTTAATTCTAAATCCGATCGTTTCATAATTGCATCATTTAAGAAAAGAAATTATATTGTTATATGACTATATTACCTTTGCAATTTAAATGATTGGGGAGTCGTGTATTTATAGTTAGCCGCTGGCATCACCAATTTGGATTAGCGGCACAGAAACTGTTTTTGTTCGATTTCAATTCAAATGGATGGACAAATTGCTTTTAATTCGAAGAAATAATACCACCGATAGAACATACCTACTCACAGACGACCGTTTTTAGAGTTGATTTATGAAACTGTAATATAAACTACTAGAAACCCGCTAGTCGAAAGCTTTGTTCGAGGAAATTTTAAAAATCAGTTATGTTTTAATTTCTCTTCATCATACAGCTCTGTTATACAGTAGACATAATGAAATTTATTTAACAATGGCGACAGCGTTGTTAGTATTCGGATTCCCAAAACGATACTTTTTACCGCATCAAAAAATACCAATCACAACCAAAGTTATGAATATAAGTCATAGCGTGAGCGTAAATGTGAGCTAGTTTTGAAATTATGACGTAGCATACAGCATAACAACGCGCGTAGTTAAGATGTTTTTGCTCGCGCACGTGCATTTTAACGTTGCTACGCAACAGCGCAGTAAACCTTTGCTAAAATAACGACATTATTCTAACGGTTATTTTACCTCACTTCCGACGTTAATTATAAAAAATCTAAGCCTAAATCAAAATTCTAAGAATGCTATAGCCTATTCCTATCCTTTTTCTACAACCCTGCTAAAAATGGCGAGGTTACAACTCCATTTGCGAGCTGGGTTTGGCATCACCAGAGGGTCATTTTGAGGTCGATTTTCGGTGTTTTTTCTTCTATGTCCCCGTTGCCGGGGAAATTTCGTCAAGTTTAAAATATAATATAGATAAGCCATGATGCAAAAAATGGACATTTTTGGAACTTTGCACAACATATCGGGGCTATTAACCGCAGACATCGAACACTTTAATATACTAATATAGTTGCCTGTAAATTAAAATGCTTCGTTCCATTTAATGTGACACCGAAAATTCAAATTTGATAGTACCTGCAATCTGAATATTCATTTTTAGAGGGGTTCAGGATTGCAACTAGCTATTTCTAAGTCACTAACGTGTTACCAAAGACTAGTTTCTTCGATGTAAAGTTCTCAAGGTACATTTTTAAAGAAATTTAGACGAGTATCATCCGTCAAGGTTTATGCTGAACTATAACGATGAATATTAACCAAGATCCCTCGCAATCCTTGAGAATCCTCATGACATCTGAGCATGGTCAGTGCCCTGCAATATTTTAAGGTAATCCAATTTAATTTAAACACTTTTCCAGTTTAAAATTTTCAAGTACTAACCGTCAGACGATATGGAAACTGAGAGCAACCCGTCTGGAGACGAAATCTTCTTTTTTGGGTTCCCATTTCTACCGTCGTCTCTGGAGATAAATTATTAGTTTATTCGTATAATTGTTCGATTTAATTAGCTTTTAGATTAGATTTTAATAAGCTTGTAGAGCTGCTAACATGGAGCCCCAGTTACTCACTGCTTACTGCATTTTATAAATTTGGATTATAGAGTACGGTGTATTTTATTATACCATTACCACATTGGATTAAGCACAAGAAATGTAATATTGTACACTTTATTTTAACCACTCTGCTATATAGTATAAAATTATAGTAGATGAAGTTTAATTAAATCCATTCTAAGAAATTAATTCCAGCTCTTTAGATATTCGATATCAATCATGAAATACCCAATAGTCAATATATCACACACAATTAAAAAAGTTTTATAATCTACCTGTCATTGAACGCATATCTGTTAACAACGTTCACTAAATGAGCGATCACCATTTCTTTTTCCTCCATCATATTCTCCCGGTCTTTAATTTCCCCCTCCAACTTTTTTATCTTTTCTGAACATAAATTTACTTGGTTAGTAAAGCAAAAAGTATTAAGCTTTGCTTTTGGAATTTGGATGGCCTAACATAAAAGGTTTTCACTGGGAATGCGCAAGCTTCGCGGAGAAAACCCTCAGATCACTCACTGATCAGTAAACCTTGACCTTCAGATCAAACTCAAGGTGTGGCTATAAACCCACTTCGTCATGATGGCAGTCACGTGTCCATTGTTAACTGTCCCTCAACAAACATATTAAAGTATTAAATTTCAACTACAGCTGCGGACGACGTTCGTCACGAGATATTGTGAAGGGTAGAATCGTCCATCGCAACGCCGTGCGTGCAGTTTAAAAAGCGCAGGATTTGGCTTTGGAGCCTCGTGGAGTCCGAATATCCGTATTTATATATATACGATATTTATCAAATGTTATCTTACTCGTGGATAATTTGAATATATATTTACGCGAGCTGTCATTACAGTTTTCTGTCGCCAGTGATTGAGAAAGAGTTGTACAAAGTTGAAAAAATAAAACTGTCATTGGCATTGATAAACGGCAAAGTCTTGGTTTACTGATTTATTGGTATCTCAAGATCTAGATAAGCAACCCTGTCACTGCTACTGTTGTAACACTGATGTAGTTGGTATAGACTGAATTTACAGTAAACAGATTCATGCTTGCCACTTATTGTCAATTGCTGAAAGTTTTATTGAAGCGATATTTTGTGTGATTTCCCATTCATCATCTGTAAAATGCAAAATTGAATCCTCAAAGTGACGACATTAGTTTCTTGCACAGCGAGAATGTCTAGTTTACGATAATAGCAATCTCTCAAAAGTTCATCCCGTTTAACGGAGAAGTAATACCAGTACTTAAATAAAAGTAGTAGTAGAGTGAAAGATTGTGCTGAGCTTCTTCTTTTGCGTTCTGATGTAGATAATCTACTTGTACGTTGCCGCCAGAGCATCTGCCGATAATCACTCGAACGGCCATCCATGTTTGTCATAACTGTAAAGAATTTACAAAATCTGAACTTATTTTCAATCAACGGATTCATGTCATATTATTGGCTTTTGCATATCAAATGTTTTTTGTGGTATTGAATGCCGCTTTGAATCCCGGTTCTTTACATTAGGCGGATGAAAGAATTAAAGACATTTATTTGTAGGCTTATCTGTGTCCACAGATCGCCCTAAATTTGGTACGTGAGGTATTGGCATTATCCAACGTTAGCACTGTAAAACTGAAGATTTCAGATTATAATTAATATTAATCGGTAAATTAATAATCGTGTCACTTGACTTACCTACAGTTTTGAATCAAAACTTTTGATTAACTAAAGAGACAGATATTGTGTACAAGTTTTAATAAATTATTTCCGTACAATGTTCACAAATCGGTCGAGAAGTCTTGTACTTCAAGAAACCAGCAATATTTCTTTTTAAAATCATGTAGGTTTTGACTTCTAGAATTTTGTTTAAACACTCTTGAATTTGTTCGAAGATCTGGAATTTGTAAAGTTATTCCTCTTAGGATTACAAATATGACTGAACGTACACCCAGGCTCTGGAAATTGCTGATAAGCAAACTCAGCGGCATGTCATAGTCACGGAACTGTTTGTGGAGGATGACGAAAGTTGGCCATTCAGCAGAGTTACTCTTCCTATCGAACAAAATGCGATCTGTTTCAGGAATTGGTAGACAAATCACTTGATGTCCTTAATCGCCGTTTGAATG